TATTTATATATTGAGACAAAATGAAATACATTATCGTGACTTTTGTAGGAGTTTAAGATCACATGATTTTCCAAAATTAAAGGCAATGCAGTTACAACTTTATAAGTGCACAAGCAATTTTAAAGAAACTGTCAACTATACAAGTACAGGGTGAAAACAACTATCTGATGTAAAACACCCTGCATATTTAGTCTGTGACTCCTATCAATAGGTCTGAAGATCATTGTAAATTAATTCTGTAGATATATTAAACCTTATAGAGGAGGGAGCGACTTGTATCTAGATTAAGAGAGATCGTAGGGGACGGAGATAAAAGGTATGTCCGCATGCATATGAGGGACAAGTGAAAGAAAAAGAGAGGGAGAGTTGCCCCTACAAGGTTGTGAGGACATTGAGAGATCGACAATATGAGAGTGTGATGTCTTCATGCAGTCGAGGGCCATGTGCGAGAAATATGCGAAATGGCCCCACAAGGTTTCATTGATTTATATGTTTAATCTCTCGTCTATTTGTACTGTCAATGGAGAGATTGGCATTAAGTTCTGTGTTTCATCTTAAAACACCAGTTTTCTCTTTAAGTTTGTACCTGGATGTGCTTGTCCCCATAACGTGGGTTTGAGACTCATCCGTAATTGTGGGCCACAAAACCGGCCAGAGAGAGAGAGAGAGAGAGAGAGAGAGAGAGAGAGAGAGTGGTATTCAATATATGTTGTATTAATAGTTACGAGCAAGAAAATAACTACAACACGCAAAATGGAAATATGTGACTGGGTAATATCAATTTCTGCAAATAACAACGAGCCATAGATAAATAAACATATTCGCGTAACTTATTTATTAATTTTCATGAACATTATCATAATAATAAACCAAAAACAAACCGTTATTTAGCATGTCTTGATAATCAGCCTCTTTAATATCGTTTCAAGCTATTGTATAATATTAAAATTTTTATATAAAAACATGTGAAGTAAAATGCAACTTCACATTCATTCATTTATTCGAGGCGTGAACCAGAATTATCAAGATTTTTTCATAATTCTGATACATTTCATGTTTTCTTCATTAAATTTATAACTGCGCTAATTTTTGTTTCTATCAATCCAATTGCAAAATTTTATTGATTGAAACCCAAAATAAGTATCTTCATAGTCAAACAAAAGGTTTTTTGAGTGTTGTAGTTATTTTGTAGACTGTTGGACTAATCTTAAGGCTTGCTAAAATGTTAATGCGGTTTTTTAAATAAATTTTAATTGATAAATTGCATATATCTTAAGATTTGTTTTGGCTATCTACTTTTTCATCCAAAGCTTGATATGAGGTAAATCCAAGTCGTATTCATTTCATTTCTTATCTAGGATTAATTAGCTACGTTAAACGAAAATTATAGCATTCTATTTATTTTTGTATATTTTGTTTGGTTTTAGTACGCATTTATATAATGTTTGCTATAATAAATGATCAATATTATGTTTAACAATAATGTATGTACATCATGACAGCTTTAGAAATTATCTGTTGTTTTGTTGTTGTTTTTTTTCCCTGTGATTTATATGCTTAAGAATTGCAACAAAATAGAGTCATACTCAACGTTCCTAAAATACTTATTTCATTTCAAAAGACTTAATTTTTTAGAATTATACGAAAAACCTATTTCTATATAGAAAATCAACATACCTTGCAAAATATGCAGTCCGTTTTGCAATTGAGATTGCACACTGAACAAGCGTATTTTTTCGTCATATTGAATGATGAACGAATGATGAATCAAAGCTAAAAAATTACTTATATATGTTTCATTTATTACCAGGCACAGTTTTATCAGTGGGTGGCTACAACAGACCACATCACCACCCCACCAAATTTTGTTTTATTTCTACCGAAAATGGATATAAATGTAGTAAAACATGTAATAAAAGCAAACAGGCACACACTATAAATTAATTTGAACTTGAATCCCTGCTTGGCTGCTGTTATAAAACTGCTCCGCCATAGTCACATAGCTTGAGACTTTCACTTGTTAGAATCTGGCGTGTGTGCACGCGCACGTCAATAATGATCAGGGTGATATACCAAAAAAATCTATCTTATCTTGTTATGTTAACAAGCGCGTTAATCTTATCATTGAAAATATCTAAGGTCATAATCAGATAATTACACATCTGTATTGATGCCAATTAATTTTGTAAATTAGGTCGCAGTAGAAAAAAGTAATTTGGGGGGGGGGGATCCAAGTTATTACAATAATACACATTTTATCTGTAAGGCAAGTGAAAAAAAAAAAATTAAATATAAATACACTGATGATGTCTAAATATTGAAGTTAAAATCAAGCTGTATTCCAAGTTATATTTGAATGTTTCTGTTTCATACATGTATATTAATTGCAATGATTTCAAATCCAAATATATGTACTTGGGAAATAATTTCAATTCCAAATATATGTAATACGGGAATTAATTTAACAATCCCAAATCTACTTAACCCTCAGGGGCTCAAATGGTAATATACATGTATTTAAATTGCACCAAACCACCCGTATTACATCTATAACGACATAAATGTTACGCTCACATTTAAGAAATTTATTCATTTGATCAAATCTAGTCATTACTTCATACGTTTAAGAAACCCTAAATAAGAACATAATTTATACATAATAAAGTCCTTTCCGATCAGACAGGGGAATGGAATATGGAATATTGAACAGATTCTGTCTTAATATCTTACCAAATTTTTGAAAATCTACATTGCCATAGATGCATTCTGGGGTATGTTAAGGCATGTTCTGAAGGAAGAGTATTCATAATTTTGCTGAATTTTGGTTACATTTTTTTCCATCAATTTAAAGATGACCATACTTATACCACTAACTCAACGCAAAGCTACTGTGACATTTTGGCAAAAAGAGCTTTTATCCGTATATAGTTTTGGGGTAATAATAAATGAATCAAGAACTATACATTTAAAAAGAACAAATTTATGCAATTTTTTAAGCAATCATCAAAATTTAAAAATTCAAAATAAGGTTTCTAAATATATACTTAGAAAACAAAGATCAACCAGATCGAACGCCATTAACTAAATGCATCCGTACTAACACCTTGCTACATACCAATGATGATGATGAAATATCTAATGTCACACAAACAGCGTCTCAATAAGATTTTATGCTCCCATAGTTCATGTATGAAAGCCTTAGTGAAACATATATAGAACATAGAATAGCCTGTTTACGTGAAGTTAAACATATAAAGAAAGTAAAAACAAAGCAAACTTACACCTCCAATACGTTACCTACAGTAATGTAAGAAAAAGAATTCCGAAGACTTTTATTATAAAACATTTTTGTAATTTGAATGAACTATTTTGCGCGAAGTAGTGTCAGAATGTTCAAAAATCTCTTTCACAATTGTAAGAATTACTATCAGTGTGAATGAACTTGGCATGTCAAAACGCTCATATTCATTTACATGTACATGTTTATTTTAAGAAAAGTTACTAAAAACCGGATATTTTCAATAATGTGTTTCCTTACATTCTTCCTTTCCATATGTTACTTAAGTCTCTCTATAGTGATAATTCAACAATCAATTATTCTCTTATTTTTCGTTGTACATTCAAAGAGCTTACATTTATCCGCAACATTTTGTATCTTTATTTTGAAAATTACTTTAGCTGGAGAGGTATTGTTTTACAAATGATATTTTCCAATCCAATCTGAATAACATTGTTGTGAAATATTTGTAAATGTTACTTTATGTGCAATTTAATGAATAAATTAAGTTTCATTAAAGTATAAATTACAAAAAAGAGAATTGCATCGCTAGCTTTTAAAGCAAACTCTCCACCACTACGCTAATTAATGCAGATTTTGATGTGTATTCAATATTCAAACATATTACTTGTAAATATTATATATAATTAAAATACATTTAAAAAAATATGTAATTACACAGATTATGTTCACGTTTACTTCAAATCGACTTTATGAACTTGCCAGGTTTTATTTGTGCTCAAGATTTGACGGAAATGCAGTTTGAAAAGAATAACGTACAAATAATTAAATCATGAATACCTTAAGAAGGGAAGATAATATAAAAGACAAGATGTCAAGCCTTCATTCGAAATATATCGCTTAGCTTCCTCATCAGTTGTATAAAGCTAGCACTACCGATATCTGGATATTGCCGATCATTGTCGTGCATACTTGTAATATTTATATTTTGAATCGAAGCGCTCAAAAACTTTAATATTGTAAAAAAAACTCCATCCGTCTCTGATAGGTTTTACCACAAAACAACTTTATAACACAGCAACACTTTCGTTATGAAATAAAACTCGATATAAAGAGTATAAAACTCGTTTCAAATAAGCAAGATTACAGGTCATTTTCTAATATTAGGACCTACACAACTACTGCCCTTACCCTTAAATTTTTATTGCATTTTTGTAATAATTTAATTTTTCATTTTTGAGGAAAAAGTGTAGGCACGTGCCTACAGTGCCTATAGGAAGCTACGCCACTGTATATAAGTAATTGCAAATAACATTCATAACATTCGTTGAATTATTTCAAATATCTCCATTGATATGAAAGCAATAGTTCCTTTCCGATTATGCCAACTCCTTTCCGAGCCACGCAGTGATGACTGGCTTATTGTGCTAAATAACTTAATAAATATAGGACAAAAATATAAATATATTTGTTTATTTCTTTGACATATTTTAATATTGATAATATTTTCTGAAATATTTCTAATAGATCTATGTAAGAAAAATCCGATCAATCATAAGCTCTTTCCGATCAGTGTGTTTCGATGACTGATATATTATCTTTTAAAATTTCAAAAAGTATGGGGGAATAGTATCAGTTAAATTCCACAGGTGTTTGTTTTAATTAATTGTCATTATATTCAGTGAAATCTTTTTTGAAAAAATGCCATTAATAAGCATATAATCGGCCCTTTCCGGTCATGTCAAGTCCTTTTCGCGGAAAGGGGCCCTTTCCGATATCTAGTCATACCGCTGTAGCGATTGATGGCCTGGCTGGCGGATGTGAAAATTTGAAAGAGGTAAACAAATAACTCTGCTCATTTCGAATATACGTACGCAATTTGACCAATTCGTATTGGCTTTTAGAATCAGATGTGTCCAGTGTTTCGAAATGCATGAATCATTTCAGGAAATAAACTCCAATAATGAATGGAAAATTAATGTGTTGTTATTTTTGTTATTCGTCCCCATAACTATTCGTACTTGATTGTTAAACAGTGTTCAATAATACTATTGCTTGCATTGAGGTAAGTGCACGATGTGTCATCTGATTTTTTTTGCACAACCTGCAAAAAAGAGCAATCATTTGACTAAAAGGAACACAGAAACTTGTGCGACAGCTATTAACTATTAAAAATTTGAAAAGCAAGCTATCTCGTCTGATTTTCATGTCATAAGGCAGATTGGGCATTTTCACCAGCCTGAACACTGTTTTCTGGTATGTTACGGATTAAGCTCAGGCACGGATTTTAATAACAAGGATCAGAAACTCCCATTTAACTATACATAAACGTTTAAATATCTTGCCGCATACCCGATAAACACTTTTTAACAGGCTGGTGAAAATGCCCAATCGGGCTTATGACATAAAAAATCATATTTCTAGAAAAAATAAAGATATTTATTTTAAACTTTGTTTATTGAGCATAATAAATGACATAAACAGAAAGAAAAATATTTGGTTACTGCAGTGTTTTTTTTCACTTTTGGGGGAAGGGGGTCGGTGCCCTTTGAAGGGGGAAAAATGCAATAGGAGGGGGATTTTATACGGATCTAAAATATTGACGCGTCACATGTTAAATTTGTTGGAACACCGGGAGTAGCTCCCCTTACCTACATGAGAACGATTTGTAAACAACCTTGCTTAACAGTAAGTCTTACAGGCTTTAAATAAAACATTTTTTGGCAGTTAGTTGCAAAAAAATGATATTCATTTCAGGCAAATTCGGGTTGCCATATTATAGGGGGAAATTTCGGCTTTGAGGGGGAAAAAACATACTATTTTGAGGGGGGAATGGGGCCGAATTTCGCCGAATATTTTTGTGAAAAAAAACACTGTACTGTCACTTTTGTGAGAATTATTTCCCCTTTTTCATGTTTAATATTTCTTGAAATAAGAATTGAACAGAATAATGCAAAGAAATCTGATTATGTGTAAAATCTCTAAGACTTGTATTAAATCTACTGATAATAGGCAGTTTTTTGTACTTTTAAATAGTTACTTTCTTTATTATCAACTTGATATGTATATTACAAATATTTAACATAAATTTTACAGCTTCTTAACCGGACAAAGAGTTGTTCCAAGACGTCTATTCTGTTTGAAAGTATTCATTTTGAAGAAAGAATTTCAACCAAAAATGTCTGCTTTACCATCGGACCTTATTGCCATGAAGGATTCCCCAACTTATTTACCAATCTTCAGATCTGTGCTTAAAAGCCAAATACAATTTCTGGTGAGTATAAATTATCCTGTCCATAACACATATTATATATAACAATTTATCTAAGTATATGTACAGGGTTTTCATTTGTATTTGAGTCAACAGAAGCACAAAAAAAAAACCCCAAAAAAAAATTTTGCAAAGGGTCAAGTCAAAGAGGATAATTTGATGTACATGTACAGACTGATTATACAACCAATTTTAACAGCATTTAAATGAATGATATGGATCGCCAATCTGTTAATAATGAATACCCTGGTAAAGTCTCAGAATATTGAAGTTTAAAATGTTTAACACACCTTAGATCTTGAAGAAAAATCATGCACTAACTTTCAGTTCATATTTTTAAAGCTACATTAAATAAATATGTTAAAATATTTTTGCCGTCGGCCTAAAAACCAAGCATTCTACAGTTTCATTAACCTCTTTAACAGTATCGTTGTACATCTCATCAAATATTGTTCATAAATTAGGATTTTAAATGGAAAACCCCACGGTAACACTAAAGTTCGAATCAGAATTTTAACATGCAAATGAAGACTATAATCAGCTCGTGTATGCGCTACGTCACGGTGTTATAGTTGCTACCCGAAACACAGCAAATATAAGATTTTCTTGTGCAAACACACTTTTACCGTTTAAGCTTCAAGGTTGCACTAGGCCTGTGGTTAAGAAAAAAGTAATCATCTCATAAAAAAGATTAAATTTGTATGAAAATATCCGTTACAAAGCGGAAATATACCGTTAAATAAGGACTGCTACTTATTGTCATGTTTGTTGATTTAATATTGATGTACGGATGATCTGAAGGCGGAGTTTCTCATGCAAACAGAAATTGTACTTCCGAATTCGCCACAATGAGGTTGCACATTTGTATGCTCATTAAACTCATTTTGGTTGTCTGGACACCGAAATAAGATCTGGAGTCGATATGAAACCCAATTTATTAATGAAATGTTGCTATTTCTTTTTTTATGAAATTTATTTAATGTAACTTTAAACAATTTGTTGTAAATTGGAGTAAAGAAGATGTTGAAATTTGAATCAGGACTCACATCATGACAATTTTAACTTGCCGAGTTTTTGTAATGAATTTGCCCTGCCTTAAATGCGTAATAGTGTAAATGTATTTATTTAAACTCTTAAAAAATATTTTAAAAAATATTTGAAGTACACTTATTGAGCTACCGGCAGTATAGAGTCATGTCAAACTGTATAGTCTTAGACATAAAGGGTGGCATGGCTCTATACTGGTGAAAAAGGCTAAGTTAAACAAATATATTGTTCCAGGTTGAGCAGTTGTCTGGGGCAGGAGAGGAGACCCTCGTTTTGTCTGCCAATGTTAATGACGGTTTGGTAGATCAGTTTGGTTCTGAGTCAGGAAAGTTGTTTGCCAACATTTATGATGATTTCAAATCTGAATTCCTGGGATTTTGTCAGAAAAGTAAGTACAATAATCAGAGGCCTCGGGTAATTTTTTTACTTTATATCAGGGTTGACTCTGCCTACTTTTAGAAATGACCGTGAGCTTAATTAAAAAATTATGAAATATCCAGTCTGCGAAATAAGAAGTTGTCCTATTGCCCGAGACAACCATTTTTTGGCCTGGACAACTAATTTTTAAAAGTTTACATGCCCGATGGACAAGTAAAAATTTGCAGACAGTATTCATCAAAATGTCAATGAATAGCAATAAATTGCAAGATATCAAATACAATAGTTTGCTTACATTTATGACTGTTTCTTACTGAAAAATAAGTTTGCAGATTTGATCAATAATTGCTTGGAGATGTTCTGATGAAAATATTTGGTCAACTAGTTTTTACTTGGACAACCAGATTTTCTTGAATTGGTTGCCTGAATGACAACAATTTTTTAAACCTTAATTTCACAGACTGAATGCCTGAATAATAAATTGATATTTGCAGTTCATTGTGTGTATCTACAAAAGAAACACAAACAACTATCTAATGATATATTCACACTAAGGAGCTTCTATGTTACAGTTAGTTTTAGAAACAAGTTGAACGATATATATATATTGGGTGAGCTTGTTTGCAAGTCACAAGGTTATATATAAGAATAATCTTGTGAACACCATATAGAAGGAACCATTAAACAACTTTTCTTCTTTAGCTTTATTCAAATTTTATATGAAAATATATTTTTCAGGAAAGGGAAAGCGAAAGCAGGATTCACCACATAAAACAGTGGAAGCTAAAAGGGGCAGGCCTGCTGGTGTGCTGGCTTTGCCTAAAACGCCCACACAGGGACAGACGGTTCAAGCTGTCAAATCAACATCAAATGTTCCAAAGGTTTCTTCAGCAAGAGTTATTACGAATCCAAAATCAGGTGCCAGCTCTCAGGAGAGCATACTGCTGCAGGTATCTCCTGGTGATCTTGACAGTGAAGATTTAGAGGAGGAGGAGGAGGGCTATGCTGACATGGGCGATGAGGAGGAGCAGTATGCAGAGAAGGAGGAGCCAGCTGAAGAATGGGAGGAGTCTAGTGAAAACACACCCTCGTCAAGTCAAGGTCAATCAACTACCAGCAAAATTAAAATGGCTACAATTGTTCCTAAAGAAAACACATCCTATCAAAGTAAGTAAAACTTTCTAATACTTATTCTTTTTATTCTTTGTGTAGCCTTTAAACCATATTGTATTAAAAATTGATTCCAGCAATTTCAGCTAATTAATTATTTGTATAATTTTGACTTATAACTGTGTTGGTAAATTAAGTTAGTTTCTGCCAGAGTAACCATTTGTCAGTGTTTGTCCATGTATGTTTTTTTTTTTTGCTTTAAACACCATGAAGTAAAAATACTAGAGATATCATATTTATTTCATGATATTGATCTGCAAGTCAAGACTGTAAACTTGCTGAATTAAGTTATGTGGATGAGTTGACATTTACACATTGGAAACAGGCAAATTTTGGAACTGAATTACTAGCTATGTAGATTAATAGTGTGTTGTGAAGAATATTGATAATTCTTTGAACTAATTTCAATAATCAAATGTTAAATTAAGGCAAACACTTTGTAGACATTTGTTATTAATAACATCTTGGATTATACTGCAGAAATTGTTTTTGGTCTAATCAGTCAAAAAATTTAGAACAACACATTCAAAGTCAGTGATTTTCCTACTTATATAACAGACTCCGAAAATAGGCCTCTTCCCAATTGAAATTTTCTTTAAAATCTTGCAGTTTTCCCAAAAATCTGAAGTTAAACCAGCTTTTTTACCTCCGACTTAAGCAATTTTAGCGATAATTTTTCCCAAAATCAAGAGGCTAAGGCCTCTTCCCAATTAAGTGAGAAAAATCATTGAAAGTTGGCAATATCTACTATTTTAAAATAAAAAAATTAAGGATTTGTAATTTTATTCCCTGAATCTTTGATAAATTTGTTTTTATGCCCCCGGGCATATAGTAATTGAACCGTCTGGCCGTCCGGCCGAGCAAACATTTTGGGTTTAGGGGCTATATAACAGTAAAGAGAACAAAAGAGAACAATAGGTTCATTCCGTGATCAAAGGGTTTAGGGGCTAGTAGCTCTTAAGAAAACAAAGAAAATAACAAAGAAAATAGCCCCTAAAGCCAAAATGTTGGAACGGTTGTCTGTCCGTACAAGGTTAACCTAGAACAGCAATTTGGATTTTTCTTAAGTTCTACATGTACCAATGGCTTCTAAGTTTACACACTTACAAATCAATACAAAGTACATGATCTGGGCAAGTAACATAACTCTGGCTTTCATATTTACCAAGTTATTGCCCTTTTCAGCACTTAGAAAATGAATAATGGTTAACCTAAAACGGCAAGTTGGAAATATCTTAAGTTCTATCTATACTAATGGCTTTATGATTTCCACACTTACTTATCAATACAAAGTACATGATATTGCCAAGTTATATAACTGTGTCATCCATATTTCCCAGTTATTTCCCTTTTTTATACGCCCGTTTGAAAAACGGGACGTATTATGGGAACGCCCCTGGCGGGCGGGCGGGCGGCGTCCAATTTTGTCCGGAGCATATCTCCTACATGTATGGAGGGATTTTAATGAAACTTCATAGAAATGTTCACCACTATGAGGAGCAGTGTCGCGCACATGAACCAGGTCTCTAGGTCAAAGGTCAAGGTCACACTTAGAGCTCAGTGAAAAATGCTTGTCCGGAGCAAAACTTCCACATGTATAGAGGGATTTCAATATTACTTGGCACAAATGTTCACCATTGTGAGGCGGAGTGTTGCGTGCAAGATTCAGGTCCTTGCGGCCAAGGTCAAGGTCACACATAGAGGTCAAAGTTCAGATAAAAATATGAAGATGTGTATATGGACCATTTAGTCATCATTTATTGAGGGATTGTAACACAAATGTTTATTATCAAGACTATGGCTGTGATACATATAATTTAGGTCAATATATACAAGGTCAAGGTCACTAAAGATGATGAAATATCCAGATTTTGTAAATAGAATTTTATCAAAGGGCGACAACAGAGTTATTACTTTGTTCATAAATGACTTACACAATTACTCCCCTTGATCTACATTCACTTTCAATTCTAAAAATAGAATTTAATCAAAGGGCATAAATGATCCTCTTTCTTGGACTTGAGTATTCTAAAGAATGTAACATTTATTTACACATGTTTCATTCATTGGTCAAGATTCTTAACTGTGATAACTATGGTGTTCTGTAGACTTGGTATTTGTTCATAAAGATCATACAGTAATTACCTTATCAAATGTAAATACTTTCTCATAGAAATTTAATTATATTTTAATTTTCAAGTAAATATCAGTTCAGCTCTCCTACATGTATGGAGGGATTTTCATGAAACTTCATAGAAATGTTCACCACTATGAGGAGCAGTGTCGCGCACATGAACCAGGTCTCTAGGTCAAAGGTCAAGGTCACACTTGGAGCTCATTGAAAAATGCTTGTCCGGAGCAAAACTTCCACATGTATAGAGGGATTTCAATATTACTTGGCACAAATGTTCACCATTGTGAGGCAGAGTGTCGCGCGCAAGATTCAGGTCCTTGCGGCCAAGGTCAATTTCACACATAGAGGTCAAAGTTTAGATAAAAATATGAAGATGTGAATAGGGACGATTTAATCATCATTTATTGAGGGATTGTAACACAAATGGTCATTATCATGACTACGGCTGTGACACATGTACTTTAGGTCAATATATGCAAGGTCAAGGTCACTAAAGATGGTGAAATATCCAGATTTTGTCTGGAGCATATCTCCTACATGTATGGAAGAATTTTTATAATACTTTATGTCCATAATGTTCACCACCATGATATGTATTGCTCCATGCATGATCCAGGTCAAAGGTCAAGGTCACACTTAGAGCTCATTGAAAAACGCTTGTCCGGAGCAAAACTTCTACATTCAATATAACTTGGCACAAATGTTCACCATTGTGAGGCTGAGTGTCGCACGCAAAATTCAGATCCCTGCGACCAAAGTCAATGTTACACATAGAGGTCAAAGTTCAGATAAAAATTTGAAGATGTGTATAGGGACCATTTAGTCATCATTTATTGATGGATTGTAGCACAAATGGTAACTATCATGACTACAGGTGTGACACATTTAATTTAGGTTAATATTTGCAAGGTCAAGGTCACTGGAGATGATTAAATATCCAGATGTTGTCCGGAGCATATTTTCTACATGCATGGAGGAATTTTAATGTTACTTTATAGAATTGTTCACCACCATGAGACGTAGTGCCCTGCACATGAACCAAGTCTCTAGGTCAAAGGTGAAGGTCACAGTTAGAGCTCATAGAAAAACGCTTGTCTGGAGCAAAACTTCTACATGCATAGAGGGATTTCAATATAATTTGGCACAAATGTTCATCATTGTGAGGCTGAGTGCCGTGCATAAAATTCAGGTCCCTGCGACCAAGGTCAAGGTCACACATCCTGTGCATATCTTCCCTACTGATTTGTTTTAAGGTTCATTTAACAACACAGTGCCAAGAATAAAAACTTGCTTGCTAGATAACACTTATCCATAATGCCCCCATCTCCATCTAAAGCTTTCGTAAACGGGCGTATTTTGTGACTATTGCACCCTTGTTCACTTTGAAAATAGGGCCTTGTCTGGTTAACCTATTTCGGCAAGTTGGATTTATCTTAAATTTCTCCTAATTGCTTAATTATCCCCCGCCGATGGAATCGGGAGGGGGATATAGTTTTGGCGTTGTCCATCCTTCCGTCCGTCCATCCGTCCGTCCGAATTTTGTTTCCGGAGTAGTTCTCTGCAACTACTGGCTAGAATTCAACGAAACTTTATGGGAATCATCAATTTCAAGAGGAGATGCGCATATCATCGGCTTGTTCCGGTCCGACCCTTTAACTCTGAGTTATGGCCCTTGATTAGTTATGTAGTATGCATATAGAGTAAAAATCGTTTCCGGAGTAGTTCTCTGCAACTACTGGCTGGAATTCAACGAAACTTTATGGGAATCATCAATACCAAGAGGAGATGCGCATATCGTCGGCTTGTTCCAGTCAGACACTTTAACTCAGAGTTATGGCCCTTGATTAGTTATGCAGTATGCATATGGAGTAAAAATCGTTTCCGCGCTACTTCTCTGCAACTACTGCCTGGAATTCAACGAAACTTTATGGGAACCTTCAATACCAAGAGGAGATGAGCATATTGTCTGCTTGTTCCGGTCAGATACTTTAACTCAGAGTTATGGCCCTTGATTAGTTATGCAATATGCATATGGAATAAAAATCGTTTCCGGAGTAGTTCTCTGCAACTACTGGCTGGAATTCAACGAAGCTTTATGGGAATCCTCAATATCAAGAGGAGATGCGCATATCGTCGGCTTGTTCCGGTCAGACCATTTAACTCAGAGTTATGGCCCTTGATGAGTTATGTAGTATGCATATAGAGTAAAAATCTTTTCTGCACTACTTCTCTGCAACTACTGGCTGGAATTCAACGAAACTTTATGGGAACCTTCAATACCAAAAGGAGATGCGCATATCGTCGGCTTGTTCCGGTCAGACACTTTAACTCAGAGTTATGGCCCTTGATTAGTTATGCAGTATGCATATGGAGTAAAAATCGTTTCTGCGCTACTATTCTGCAACTACTGGCTGGAATTCAACGAAACTTTATGGGAACCTTCAATACCAGGAGGAGATGTGCATATCGTCGGCTTGTTCCGGTCAGACACTTTAACTCAGAGTTATGGCCCTTGATTAGTTATGCAGTATCCATATAGAAAAATATTTGTTTCCTCGCTACTTCTCTGCTACTACTGGCTGGAATTCAATGAAACTTTATGGGATACTAAGAGGAGATGTGCATATAGTCGCCTTGTTCCAGTCAGATACTTATAACTCAGATTTATGGCCCTTGATTAGTTATGTAGTATGCATACATCTCATTGGCATTTCCAGATTTTACTATTTAACACAAAGTATGGCTCTGTTATTGCCCTGAATATTTATCAAGTTCAAAGAATATTACTGTTTATGCCATGATTAATATATAAATAAAGCCTTATGTATTCAGTTGTTATGTTAATAATAACCAGTACTCGGCG